CTGCTTAAGAGAATCTGTGGACACGCCATGATGAATAATAAATTTGTCACGTACCTCAAGACTTTATTTGAAACACCTTAATAAATCCAATAAAACTCTATCACATCACATGGCTATCGTTGACACCTAATTAACACCTATTGTTAACAGGGGGTGGAGTGATACTGGCAATAGCAGCACTGTAGGCGGGGGACAACTGAAAACGGAGGCCTCCACCTCTGTTTAATGATGGACGGTCTTTCTTCACAAAAATGGCTTCTTTTACTCCTCACATCACATGGCTATCGTTGACACCTAATTAACACCTATTGTTAACAGGGGGTGGAGTGATACTGGCAATAGCAGCACCGTAGGAGGGGGACAATTGAAAGCGGAGGCCTCCACCTCTGTTTAATGATGGACGGTCTTTCTTCACAAAAAGAGAGCAGATAGAAAGAAAGCAGATATTAGGATGCAAACGTAGATTTATGAGGTACCAATGTTGACAACCTCAAGCAGTCAGAGCTCCAGCATGGTGGCACATTGGCCTCAGACTCTGAAGCCTAACATACACAGCACTACGCAATGCCTCTGCAAAGGGTTATTACAGAATCTGTTGAGTTTACCTGCTGTGTCCCCCAGCAGCCGCAGGGCCTGGGCCCGGTTGTTGTAGGCAGAGGCTCTCTCAGGCAGGATCTGGACCGCCTGGCTGAACAGTTGAAGTGCGGTTTGCAAATCCCCGGCCTCCGCCGCCGAGACGCCCCGCATCTCCAGCTCTTTCACTTGCTTCAGCAGCTCTGAGTCAAAACCGCTGTCTGGCAGGAGGAGATAAACCAGCACTCATACTCAGCTGACAGGTACCGTAGCAAAGGAAAACACAGAAATGTCACCCAGAACTAAGTTTTGATTACTATGTCATTTTTTTTAACAGCCTAGGAATGGAATGTGTTCAAAAAAATTCTATATGCTGTGACATGTAGAGACACATCAAGTCAGAAGCCCACGCTCACCATCGTCAATTAATTCCTCCTCTTGGTTGAGAACAGGGATGTCTCCAAAGGGGGCGGTGGGGTTGAATATTGCCTGGAGTACGGCTCTGTCGTGTGCAGAAGCCATCTTACTGTGGAGTGAGCAGAGCAGTCGGGAAGAACAAAAATAAAATTATGTCACAGGAATCAGAGCCTAGAGAATTCTTCCTCTCCCAGTTTCTGCCCGGACCAGCAGCCAATCAGAGGAGGGGGCGGAAGCAGAGGTGGACTTTGAAATTGGACAGCACATCTGTGTTTAATTAACTAAAAAATGCATGCTAGAAAGACAACATATAACGGCATTTACTGGATGGAAACAGATTTACACAATATTCTGTTCAGGCCTCGAGTGAGTTTAATAATTTAACTGTACAAATAAGTAACAACAAATGTTTTAAGTTTAATAAAAGAACTGATTCCATTACCTGTTTTAGGTACATCAGTTTTTACAGAAGCTTCAGAGTTGGATGACTTCAGAGTTGATGTTTATGATAAAACAAGAAAATTACAGCCATGCAGCTGCAGCAATACTATGTTTAATCCATTCAAGACTCCACAGCTAAGCAGCTTTATCAAACACAACTGAGTCAACTGTACAGATTTTACTAAAATACCTCAAACTATCAAAAATGGGACGTGTTGCTTTCAGTTGGTGATAGGTGGTAAAATATATGGGTCCTTAAAATGTAATTTATGTGCATATTCTGTATCAAAAAATGCACACAACAGAAATGATTAAGATTAAAGAAAAGCACAGTTCTGTTTAAAAGACAAAACTCTTTGTGACTTCATTTAGAGCATCCCTCTGCTTCTTAATTTTTTTAAAACAAAGCAGCCATTCACAACTGCATGCAAAATAAAGAAATAAAGAAATAAAATGAAATAAAACTATTATTACACAAAACTAGGACAGAGGTCTATAGTTGAAAATAAAAAGTAAGTAAAAGTAAAAATACCATAACAGAAAACAACTTTGGTAAAAAAAAAATTACCTGATGAGAAAAGTACTTAAGTAAAAGTCATAAAACTGTTCACAAAAATTGGGAAAGTACAATTAAAAGTACTTTTACACACTCTCTAGAAAATCAACTGTTGAATTGATATGTTTACGCTACTAGGTTTAGTGGAACCAGCTGACATGACGGTTGAGTAAATACAACACTTCATATTTTAAAGTACATAAACAATTCTTTTCAAAATGAGTTTGAACATTTTTGATTTTGTAATGAGAAGGTGTTAAATCTTAAATCAAAGAAGTGAAAGTATCATTATTAAGTTTTAAATGTAAAAAAATTAAAGTAAAAGTAACGATAGCAAAAAATACTTGATAAAATTATAAATTCTCAAAAAAATACTTAAGTACTGTAACAGAGTAAATACACTTTGTTACTATAAACCTCTGGGAAAGAAGCTGAAAAACTTGTTTCCTGACAACCTGCCGGCTCTGAGACTTAAATAAATGTGATGTAAGGTTTTGAAAAACTTCCACAAGAATAGAAATCCATGTAATTTATGACAATCTGAACAACTTGAATCCAGGCAGGGAGAACTTTTCTTTTTCACCACTTGAGGGTGCTCTTGTTGCTTCTCTGTTTTTGCCAGGCCTCCTGTTCCCATTGGCATTTTACCAACAACAGTTTCAACCTGCAGGACTCCCATTTATTTTCACAGATTAATGTTAAATTTAAAGAGGGAGGGCCAAGCTGTCGTGTTCATGGTCACTTGGTGAGTGGTGGATTGCCTGTAGAAGAACACTGCGTTCCCCACGGCCTCTCCTATGGCGAAAAAAGAAGAAAAAAAAAAAAAAGAAAAGAGTCAATTGTGCAAGGATTATCAGTCTCCTTTTACAGCAAATGTCACTACATCAGCAACACTCAACCTGATTATGTCAATAAGGAAACTCGTTGGCAGTGTTTATGGGCTACAGAACCTGAGGGACTTGTGCTGCCTCAGCTGTAGACCAAAATGTAGGTGGCAAACAATCAAAGAGAGCGAGAGAGAGAGAGAGAAACAGCCTTAGCTGCAGTGCTGCTGTAAAACCCACAAACTCAAAGCAATGAACACTCTCTTTGTATTTCCTCTGAGCAATTACAAGGACAAGATTAAATCTGACTGCAACAGCAGAGGATAAATAATGAAGTAGTATTTGCTTAAGTGCAAACAGTGCATGACAACAACATTATTACTCATTAGCTGCTCAGTAGACAGAGGGAACAGTTCACACAACGAAATACCCTATTGAGCGTTTTTTTATATTTAAGCATTCAGAGATTTGTCTGCTTCTTTACTTCAAATGTGCAACAAATAATGAATGAATAAAACATGAAAAAGGAACAACCATCATAAGATAAAGGAATTTTTCCAGCAGTTCCTGCGTATTTTTATTTTTCTCCTCTCCTTGGGGGTCTCTTCTTCCTTTTAGAACGTCTCATAAACAAATGGACTTGAATCCTGAATGATCAGAATAATTCTGAGAGGTTACTGTTCACAAATCTGATCCTCCTGCCCCACGGAGGTGAACGGGGGGAGCTGTGTGTTGAAACCAGCCTTTTTCTGTCCGATGACAAGGGACTGAAGCATGCTGCGCTGGAGCACTTCGAGCTCGATTAAAAAGTAAGCCTGTCCACCGAGACTTGGAGAATATACTGCAAGGCTGCCTCAGGTTAAGTAAGTAACAGTGTAAAACCTTTTGTATCAACTTTCCTGCAACACCTGCTGTGCTGCAGCACCAAAACACAAGAACTACTTTCTGTATTTAGCTTTTCCTCCTGATAGGTTAATGTAGAATCGTTTTACACTGCAGCCCTCTTATCTGGAAAACACAACCCCAGCATAAACAAAAATTAGTGGATCTAATTGTAAAACGTTTGATTTTAATGTCCTCAAGTGTTTCATCAAACCCAAGTATTTATTATACGTTTGGTACGTTTTGTAATGACAAATCAGCTGAATATCTCAGGCAGCAGAAACCCAATGTACAAGAGGAGGAACAAGAGGAACCATCATAAAAAAGACAAACCCCTGTCCACCATGTATAACTGGGAGAGGGTTGGACTGAAGGACAGCACAGAGGAAGACAGAACCAGAGAGGACCCAAAATGCAGCTCTGCAAAGATGACCCTGAGAAAATCCTGAAGATCTAAAGATCATGAGAGCTTTAGTACGGAAGCCTATTGATGTCATGGAGGAAAATAAATTTCTCAACACTATCACGTTTGTACGATAGTATTTAGAAATATATTTTCCCCAATGACCTCAATGCGCCTCTGAACTTTAGCTTCATATTAAATTCACACTCACTTCAATAGTTGGATTTTTCTTGTCTCGCTTACCTGCCACAGTAATTCACTGTCACTAAATTCACTTCATATGGAAAACATATGTCTGATTTGGTCTGTTAGTAAAACGCCTCATGAAACAATATTGTGGCTTTAAAAGTCCTTTGACATTTGTATCTTTCAAACACAAAAAGTCAAAGAGAACATACACAAGATTTTACCTGTTTTGTCTCATAACTATATTTTCTTTTGAACTCGTCTCAGCCAAGGGGAAACAGGAAGTGACATCAAAGGGGAACTCTTTAAGAGAGAAAGCTTCCTGCTTTTTGTTTATTAAAACAATGTTATTTGAACTTTGACTCATTTCCATCTCTCTGATAGTGACTCAAAATAATTTAAAGAAACATCAGATTTTTCTCTGTAGTCTGGGTTGTTAGTAATTGTAACATCCCACTATTCACATTCAGACATTCCCCTTTGACATCACTTCCTGTTTCTTCACGTGCAAATTTCTCAACAATGTTTTACTGATGTTGTCTTTACAAAAATGCATTCATATTTGTTGCAAAAAATTCGACATCACAGGCGCTTTAAATATACAGTAGAGGTAAAACCTGAATCCCACTGTAGGTAGTCTTGTTTTGTGCCCACTCTATTGCTGACATTGTGTCACATGCCAGTATAAAATAATGTAAAACAAGACATACAAAGCGAAAATTGTTGTGTAGCAGGAGCAGGAGTGCCTCTGAGACTTTGACAACAAATTTAGAATTTACTTGGTCATGCACATTGACTCTTCCAGCCAGCCAACCATGATTAAAACCATGATTGGATCAACCGAGGCACAGAGGAAAAGCAAAACTAACAACACCAAAAAGCTCAAATATCTCAGGTCTGGGAATTTCTTGGTATGTAACTGTAATGTCTTTTTTTTTCTCAAAGTAAAGTGGCGGAGCATAGCTGCAACTGTCATAACAAACTGAGGATAATTTATGGTTTTTTACTTGGGCAGAAAACAGAGGGACTCAAGTGGAGCGAGTTGCTTTGTTAGAGGTGTGTGCACCTTTCACCGTGACAGGAAAAGAAACAGGGAAACTTTGAAACACACCAAACACGAGTGAAGAAAAACTAATTTCTGTATTTTCACGATGATGCACATTTCAGGCCTGAATCTTTAGGTAGATGCTGAGGAAAATGTGACCTTGTTTAGATGTGTGTTGTCAAAGGGCACGGGGGTAAGAGGATTTCATAACTTTACCGCTTCAAATAATCAATACAGCGCTACTTTTTGAATAAAAGTTGAGGTCTGTGTAAACACTGAATCTAGATTAAAAAAATCACAGATTTTTGAAAAAGGAGTGAAAATTGCTGCTGATTTTCTGAACAAAGAACCTTATTTCAGAAATTATTTAAACAAACTTTTAAGTAATTCTGATAAATATAATTGGGGATGCTAAAAAAATTCAATGGATATCTATGTTTCTGTCCAAGTGGCAGATTAGAAGCCATAATTTTATGTGTAAACATTTGTTTAAACAGTAAAATAATAATAAAAAAAAGTATTTATGAACAACATGTACTATTTCTGCCTTTTATGTTTTTCAATTATGAACATTTTTTTTCTTCTTGGCAGGGGATTTTTGTGTGTTGAGTTTCCGGTGAACAAAGATAAACATCCTCTGACTGGGAGGAAAAACAGAAGAGATGAATCATTCCTCTGACCACAAGGACCACCACTAATAGTATTACATAAAACCCTCTATAAAAGGAACATTGACCGCTTGCTGTGCGGTGCAATTACTAGTACGCAGCACCTGTGTGTACTGCAGTGTAGCGTAGCTTGTTGCATAAAAATTGACAATTCTGCTGAGGTTCAAAGTAACATTGACCCAGCTTG